ATAGTAGTAGTATAATAGTACTACTAGTAGTTTAATAGTAGAATAATAGTACTAGTAGTACTAGTATAATAGTACTACTAATAGTATAATAGTAGTATAATAGTACTAGTAGTAGTTTAATAGTAGTATAATCGTGCCTGTAGTAGTATAATAGCAGCAGTATAGTAGTAGGATAATAGTACTACTAGTAGTATAATAGTAGAATAATAGTAGTATAATAGTACTAGTAGTAGTTTAATAGTAGTATAATAGTGCTTGTAGTAGTATAATAGTAGTATTGTAGTACTCGGGAGTACTGATTAGTTGTTCCTGTTCTAATGAGGATTTCTTGACATCGTTTGAAAGAGGAAACCTCAAACCTGACGGAGATATCAGGATTTCCCAGCTGCTGTTGGAAGTAGCTTCAGTAGCGTGCAGAGAAAACAGCTAAAATTTAGCTCTGCTCTGCTCCAAAGCATCGTTAGCCGTTAGCGCTGCTCAGGAAAGTGCTTCAGAACATTCTGATTATATTTTCCTTCATTGGGCTCGTAGACAAAATGTTCATTCATCAAACTTAGAGACAATCCTACTACGTATCACGAAGATACATTTAGCTGGTTTTATCACACCACTCCATCGCATTAAGTTATGACTGTCTATGGAATATGGCTACATTAGTTGGCTGTGGCAGCCATCTTGACTCGAGTTGTCCCCGAAAGGTTAGTTGAACAAAAATTCCAAATTAGTCGTAGAAACCCAACGGAACGAGGGACGAGTTCGACACATTGGCTCCTGGACTGAACCGTTGCATTACTGTGGCTACTATTCACCTCTTCTACAGAACAAACATCTCAGCTCGTCCCGACAGCAACAAATAAATGAGCCGATGTGTCGTAACCCCCTCGTTATCAGAACCAGATTATATTAGGTCTCACATCTCCATGGCATGAAGACAACAGCCCTGTCTTATCTCCTTGTTATTAATGGCCCCGACTATCACACACTTTATAAACCTGATAAAAATGAATCCCTGAAGACTGATAGACGTGTTAGTGTGCGTCACTCACAGACCATCATGTGGTCATCAAAGGTCCCAACACAAACATGTTTACATGGCTCCTCACATACACGTCCAGGAATTAGTCAGTTCCTCACATACACGTCCAGGAATTAGTCAGTTCCTCACATACACGTCCAGGAATTAGTCAGTTCCTCACATACACGTCCAGGAACTAGTCAGTTCCTCACATACACGTCCAGGAATTAGTCAGTTCCTCACATACACGTCCAAGAATTAGTCAGTTCCTCACATACAAACCCAGGAAGCCGGCAGCACGATGGCTGAGTGGTTAGCACTGTTGCCTCACAGCTAGAAGGTTCTGGGTTCAATCCCTGGTTGGACCTGGGGTCTTTCTGGGTGGAGTTTGCATGTTGTTCTTGTGCTTGTGTGGGTTTTGTCCGGGTGCTCCGGTTTCCTTCCACAGATCAAAAACCTGCATGTTCGTCTGCCTTCAGGTCCAAAAGAGATCTGTGATCTCAAAGGGATTTTCCTGGTTAAATAAAGTTAATAAATAAAGGAATTAGTCTGATCCTCTCATGGAAGCCCAGGAATTAGCCTACTCCAAAGGTTTGAGTTTTCATTCTGTAGATGCTGACTCAACATTTATATCTTTTTCTTGTTTATAGTTTTTGTTTTGGCGTCTAATTATTTTTTCTTTTAGCAAACTTTTAGTAAATTGTAACTGTTCATGTGTCAAAACATTCAGCTCATTCAGCTGATTTGAGCTTTGATGTTTTAAACTATTTTACTCTTTAAAAATAAAATTTTCTTTGTTTTAGTTTGTTGATTAGGTTGAAATTATCTGTGATATTTACTCGTAGCTAATTTTAGCTTTCAGCTTTTCAGTTTTTGTTTTGATTTTTTGTTTTAATTTTAGGTTTTAGCTATTTTTCACTAGTTTTAGCTACAATTTTGCTAATGTTAACATATTGTCCTTATCTCAGCCTTTTACTGCAGTTTTTCTAATCTTATCTTTTAGCTATTGTTTTTTAATGATTTTAGCTATCATTTATCTAATTTTAGCATATAGTTACAGTTACGTTACTTGTAGTTTTTATTTACTGTTGTGCTTATCTCAGCCTTTAACTACAGTTTTGATGGTTTTATCTTTTAGCTATTTAAAGATTTACACTAAAGTTTGGCGGAGTTTAGCTGTTGCCTACTGTTTTGCTACTGCTATTTTTAGCTATTGTTTGACTTCTTTTAACTACAGTTTAGATCATTTTAAATTTTAACGATGCTTTAGCTTATTTTAGCTTTGAAGTTGCTAATTTTATCTTTTGTCTATTAACTCACTTTAGCTTGTTGAGTTTCAGCTGTTTTAATAAAGTTCAGCTGTCCTTCAGCTGATTATCCTCCATCATCTGCTGCTGTAGTGGGTGAAGCTAAAGAGATCAGGTTTAGTTGTCATGGCGACCAAATACACTAAAGCTACCAACCCATTCATTTCTGTTGAATAAACGTCTCACGGGTTCTGGTTCACGCTGTGGAACGGCCGGACACCGGTCCCTGTCTCCAGGGACTGTTTGGTGGAAGACGGGGGACACCCTGGACATGTCTCCAGTCCATCACAGGGACACACAGAGACAAACGAGACAACCACTCAAGCCTGGGGACAGTTCAGAGTTATTTAAAACAGGCGTGTGTGTGATCTGTGGAAACATGAACTCCACACAGGGAGGCCGGGAAGCAAACCTGCAACCTTTTCTCCCTGAGGCGATGGCACCAACCGCTTCACCACCAGCGTGTTATTGATATTTCCTGTATTCAGAAGAGATTTTTAATCAGTTTCTGATCAACATTTTGGTTGTAATCATTTTTTGTTCATATTTAAGCTCACGGATAGTTTTGAACGGTTTCACGGGTATTAAGACTCATTTTAAATGAAATTAAACACCGGAGTCAGCGGGCTGTTTTAAAACAGCCTCGTGTGTCGTGACTGCAGCAGGACCGCTCGGGTTGTGGTTTTTGTCTGGACTCGGTCCCAGGAGTGAGTCCAGGAGACTTCTGGGGGGACAGCTCATGAGTTTAGCTTCACTTTTCTTCTGCACTGACGCTCGCTGAGACGTCTGCAGTTCCACTCAAACCTGGAGTCAGACGATTCTCAGGTTGACCTTTGACCCTGGTGTCTCTCAGGGTCCACGTTAAAGGGATAGTGCCACCATTTTGTAAAGGATATTCCACCTGAAATCGTTAGTAGCTTAAGTAAATTTTAACGAGACTGGAGGAAGAGGCTAAAGGCTAGGCTAAAGGCTAGGCTAAAGTCTAGGCTAAAGGC